CCTACAAAGGTAACAAGACTGTGCCAACTGTTATAACGTTATTATCACAACAAAAGTCGATTTGATTCCGTTCTACTACACAAAGTATTGTTGCCCAAACGGTTGCGTATTAGCCCAGATTGTGGATAGAGGTATCGGGAAGAACATGAAGCGAGTAGCTGAAACCTGACCTGGTGATAAGGTACGACCGTAAGGTCAGCGAGACGTAGTACGTTGATCCTTGACCTGTTGCCCTCGGTATGAGGATTAGTTTGTTTGAACAGCTGCACTGATAGGTTGTGATATGTGATCCACTTACAGCTTTGATATCACAATGATGATATGATCATAAACCAGCGTCTCCTGTATTGACTTGGTATCCAGATGATAGTAGACCGCCTCTGTGGTGTAGTGGTTAAAGCGTCCGCCCGGAGAGCGGAAGGTCGCGGGTTCGATCCCCGACCGCGTCAAACCAAAAGACGTTAAAATATGGTACTTGTTGGTCCCTGCCTGGCGCTCGGCATTAATGGCTACAACAAGGACTGGTCGGCTCAGAGTCAGTATAATGTGTCTGAGTGGGGTATTCATGCTTCACTGCGGCATGGTATCTCAGTGGGCTAGCACTATAAAACCAGCTTAAGTCTGGACTAGTACAAGCAGCCGCACATACGCATGCACGTCGTCATATGAGCGAAATATTCTCAAGCACTATGTTAAACCCAATTTCACCTCACCTCACCTCCAGATGATAGTAGCGGGTGAATTTCTTGTGTGCGACATTGGGTTTGTTTGTTTGTTGTTTAACGCCACATTCAGCAACATTCCAGCCTTATCACGGCGTAAATAGAGACTGGTCTAGTATAGATAATCCAGTGACCGATATCATGAGCATTAATCTAAGCAACTAGGATACGATGACATGCATCAACCAAGTCAGCGTGGCTGGCCACCTGATCCCGTTAGTCGCCTCTTTGCAACAAGGATTGGTTCTGAAGACCGATTCTTAGGACCCATCTGAAGGCCGATCATTAAACAGAAGGGTTGGGATCTCACTTGTGTTGGAATAGTATATGTACTCTTTTCGTAAATGTAACTTTCTTTGAACACTGTGTCCATGTCAAATGCGATCTCGGTATATGATATGGGTAAATGTGTTATACATTATTTGTTATATTTGTGTTAATCTGGTATGTCAATTGGGGCGGTGGGTTAGCCTAGTAATTAAAGCGTCCGGTCGTCACGCCGAAGACCCGGGTTCGATTCCCCACATGGGTACAACGTGTGGTACCCATTCCCGTCGTCCCCCGCCGCGATATTGGTGGAATATCTACTTCATTTTACTTTAGTGATTTCTATGTAATATTTTGCGGTGTATTGTTTCTTTTGAGCACCAGTTTATTTGCATACTTCATTCCTTTTGAAAGAGAACTTTTCTCAAAAGTAGTGCTACCCTCAACGAAAATTCGAGCCATTTCATGGAATAGTTTTGCCGCAATGTAGTTGGTGAGTAGGTAGATATTATGTGTATGATTTGTTGGATTTTAACAGGTACTTGTTACATGAAAGTAGGCTGTTCACGACACTCCAAACCATTATGTGCCGAGTCATCCACTGTATTAAAGGTTATCTGACGTCGTACCAACAATAGCCTGGTCAAGCTGTTGTCTCTCTCTTAGATAAGAAATAACAGTTGTTAGTTGAAATTTAATAGTAACGAATGCTTGCCACAAAAGGCGACTATGTTTGTCGTAAGAGGCGACTAACGGATCGGGTGGTCAAGTCGCTGACTTGGTTGACACATATCATCGTATCCCAGTTGCGGAGTACGATGCTCATGCTGTTGATCACTGGATTGTCTTGTCCAGACTCGATTATTTACAGACCGCCGCCATATAACTAAAATATTGCTGAGTGCGGCGTAAAACTAAACTCACTTACTCACTATTAGTAACGATTGTGTCCTTAACAAAATATCCAACTATGACTATAACGTGTTTTTCAGAAATTACTGATAACATCTTTTAAAATTAATATCGAAATCGGTCGTATTTTGTGACCGAGAAACCAATGCATTCATCCATCATCTGAGACGAAGAGTAGCGGTTAATACAATGTTTCAATAACAACTGATGATCCATTTCTGTTTAACTGAAAATCTTAATTGTACTCTGGACTGCCATTAGTGTGGTTGTCAATAATTAAATATCTTCGACTGCAATGCTTTGTTTCAGTGTTACCTTCACGATCCCGAACGGTGAGGTGAGTTAATATTTAACGTCACATCGGCAGTGTTGACAGCCACATCGCGACGAGAACAAATTTGACGTTGATAAAGAATGTATATGTGTATGTTATAAAGCTGACGTCAAAGGGAGTAAAACAACTAGACTATCACAGTTAGAATTAAAACTGAGCATGTAAAGTTAAAACTAATGCGCTATTTGGACAATACGTAAACTTCACCAACATCTGAAGGTAGATCACCATACTAGTGTCCATGGGGACTTACACTACTTTAACTACCTGCATGGACCCTAGTTGGACACCATCCATTCAGCGATTGGCGATAATGTTGGCTTTTTAGCCACACATTAAATGACAATAATACTACTATTTGAAAATGTGGTAGATCAAGATTTGCTTCGAATGTTTTGAGACTCATGTATCCTCTCAGGTGGACCGATCCAGAACAGCTGACAGCAAGATGGAATCTACGACATACCCTCCCATCCTCGCAACCCTGTCTGTCATGAGCCTCAAAGATCCACGGAAATGGCTTTCTGCTTTATAATGGTGCAATATGGTTAGTATTGACGCACATGAAAACGTATCGCATTTCATATCAGCAGTAGACGAGAATGATTGCCATTTGACGTTAATAAAAATCATAATTTGACGAGAATATGTTTTCATGAGAATTTATTCTTGGCACAAAACATCTATACCGCATCATCAGATTCAGTGTACCATACGCTACTGAACACAAACTTTTGCCTTGATGTGTGGTTATGGAGCACGGAGAGGGGACTGCAAAACATCCTTGCCTATCACACACATTCGTGTCGGAGAGGATGAGTAGGGGAGTTCATAATTTGTTAAAAAAAATTCGTAAAATACACTAGATTCTAGACTTTGAAAAGAATCGTTTTACACTAATGTTTCCGCCCAACATAGGCTGGTAAATACCAATTCCACATCTATTACTTGTTACACGGAATCGTTTCTATAACCCACTCTTATACTGTTCTGCTTTTCGACCATCTGCATCCGGCTGATGATGATCATCAATTGATTCGTGATAATGTAGTGGACCATATAAGCAGATAAACAGACTACTTCTTGCATTCAGTTGATAGGAATCGGATGCTGATGCTGAAGTCCTGTGTTCACATTAGTTAGTTTTCCGCACATCAGCCGTATCCAGTGATCAAGAGCATGAACATCGATCAATTGGGATGCGATGACAAGCATTTTGAGCATGGCCACCCAATCCCGTTAGTCGCCTCTTACGAAAAGCATTGGTTGATGAAGAACAGTTCTAATCCAGATCATCACGGATCTATCCTGTTTGGAAACATCCATAGATTGCAGCTAGTTAAGCCGGACGCCTCGTGGTCGTTATCAGTTTTGGTTCACCCCCAAAGGTGCGCAAGCTAGCAGGCTTTAAAGAGGTTATGTATTCATATTTCTCCTGTGATTATTTCTAAACGTGACATTCTTTCAGTGCATAGTTGTGACCAATTCTTTTGGATATAGATTATCCGTAAATTCTCAAGGCTACTTGGCTGGTTTTCTAATTCAGTTTAGAACGTCTGATTATTTATTTTAACTATTTGTGATGCCAAAATTAGTTTGTCAAAGGAAACATTGGACAAGAATTAGACAGTTGATGCAATTTGAGTCCTTAGAGCTTTTCTCTTCTCATCAAGCCGGACAACTAGAGGAGAGCAGGAGAAAAATAGCACCTAAGTATATACATGATCCCATGTAGTTGAAGCAGGCATCGAACGAACCAGTCGCATCTCGTAAAATACCTGCAGGAAAATAGATATCTCTGATCAGACACAAAGTTCGTTTACCTAGAATTTTATAAGAAGAATGGCAGGAGAAGGAGGGAGTGAACGCGTGGATGGGATGAGGGAAATGGGGTTTAACGTCGCACTTACGACGGCGTGCATGCGTGTGTACATATATGGCTGCTTGTACTAACCAAGACTTAAGCTGGTTTTATATTGCGAGCTCACTGGAGATACCATGCCGCAGTTAAGCATGAATACCTAATTCAGACACATTATACTGACTCCGAGCTGTCCTGTCCTTGTACTCATCAATGCCGATCAACAAGTACCATATTTTAACGTCTTTTGGTATGACGCAGCCGGGGATCGAACCCGCGACCTTCCGCTCTCCGGGCGGGTGCTCTAACCATTACACCACAGAGGCGGTTGCGGATGGGACAGAACAACAGAGATGCAGGCTGATGGAGCTGGAGTAAGAGCAATGGAAGAAGGTCAGTTGAGGAGGAGTAGACTTAAGGGGAAATATAATGTTTAAAATAATATAACATTTTATGTTGTGTTAAAATGAAAACGAGTGTAATAAAATACATGTTGGATACACATGCTCGGAAAGTTATAGACGTCAACTTAGCTGGGAATAATTCTGACTTCTTCATGAGAACTTTGAATGACATTTACAAGTGATACCCGATGTGATGAAGTCCGAAATGTCGTGTTCCTCTGATTACAGAAGGTGACATTCCCCCACCAACCCAGAACCTCCACCCCCACACCTTGCCATCCCCCACTTCATGATTGCTATATTGTTTCTCTATTGAGAAATAAATTTCTGATGACAATGTTATAATCTTACCTAAAATCGGGTGTGTGATGAATCCAGATATACCATGGAACAGGGACATAAATCCAAGAGTCTTCCCCATATCTTCCAAACCCATAAACTCCACGACAACGACAGGTATCAAACAAAGATAAAAACTTCCAAATAGTCCCACGATCACCACGAATACCAGCTGATGTAGAAACGTGTTGTAGAACCAAGTGAAGTGATTTACCGTTCCAGTGATGAACAATCCAATCGCCATCAGGTTATAAACCTTCACGTATTTCCGATCAACCACGGCGCCTAGACACAATCTACTCACGAAATCTACCGCGTTGAAAATCGTAAGCAGAGTTGCAGTATCTGTTTTGGATATCCCCTTTTCCATTGTCAGAGAAGGCAAATATTCCCCTATTAATATGACAATTATCGCGCATGGTGCAAAACACATAGTCAGTTGAAACAATGGTTTCGAAAACAGCGTGAAGTCAATATTGACTCGCTTAGGTATAGGGATACAACAGTTACTCCATTTCTTTGCTGCTGGTTCCTTTTCTGTTTCATCTTCAAGTGACGCAATCTTCTTGGTTGTTTGAAAGGATTCCAGGGGTCTTAGAAGCAGGGCCCCAATCCACATATTCATGCTGAGCCCAGTGAGAATAAGCATGGCTCCTCTAATGGAGTATTCATCCACGAGGAATCGAATAAGGCGAGGAAAGATAATCCCCCCAAGGCTGACTCCAGATACTGACATCGTTGTTGCCAAGCCACGTCTTTTCTTGAAGTAGTGTCCCAGGATCACAAAGCATGGAGGTTGTACCATTGCACTGCTCGCACCTTCAACATAAAGGATATATGCAGACTTTGTACAACCCTCAGAGAAGTTTAAGGTAGGAATATGGATGACATTTCCATATTAAGTAAAGTCCGATGCATTTTTTAATAGCAATCAATCATTCAATCAAGTGTATTTCGTAACAAGGCCTTAGGCCAACGTACAATACAAATAAACGTGTAATTATAAGAAAGTGGCAATTGACAACCAGGTTAATATGTATAAAGAACGCAATGACAATGCTTCCTTAATGTAAGAAGAAAAATTTGTTAGTGTTCAAAACTTGGTACAGGATAATGTGTTCAGAAAATATTGCTGATCTATGTAATTTGGTAATGCTTTAAAATACTTACAGCGAAAATTATGATAACCTTTCATTCAAATAGGAAATGAAATTCATTTTCTACAAAATTATCATTACAAATATTACAGTCTTTGGTGCCTCGGAACTCCATCAAATCTACCGGTATTTTTATATATTGGAAGTGCACCGATTCGTAACATTATTATTCGACGCCTCGCATCTTTATATTTTAATAAAGTTAAATATGGGTCAAATCAAAATATAGTTTTGATACTGGAATAGACACCAAGCGATGAACATTTGTGCATTTCTGAAAATATGAATTGCTTTTGACAATCACCAACTCGTACATGAAAATATTTCAAAAACTGTTCCTCGTTGCCAACTCCTTGAGCTTCCCACACAAAACCAAAACCATAATTGAACAAAGTATTTCGGACAAAATATACCCACGTTTTCCTACCAAATTTGTCTAAAGTGTGCAACATAATATAACACTGCTTTTGATTTCTATCCTTTGGTAAGCGTAAAAGTTTGAACCACTACCTAATAACACGTAATAAACTATCAACATAACTATATTTTCTACCACATTCCGCCAAAACAGCAGCGTTAGAGCATTTATAACTTACGCCCAACACATACTTACAAAATCTAATGTGAAACTGTTCACTAGCATGCCATTTCCGAAAAACATATATTTCCGAAGCGTATAAAATTATCGGCTTTATCTGAACGTCAAAGATTTTGAACAAAATAGTTGGAGAAATAGTTTTTAGTCTCCTACCAAAAACCTTAACTGAGCACAAGGCGCTATTCGCTTTATGTACCAGATTTTGAACCGCTTTAGACCATCTAAATCTATTTGAAAACAATAAATCCAAATAATTATAATATGTAGAAACGATTTAACTTATGATCACCAAAGTACATGTACCATGATTCATACCCCTTAATTTACCACCATTTCTAAAGACTAGCACCTCTGTTTTCTCAGAATTTACAGACAAGCCCCATTTTTTACAAAACTGTAGTAATACATTGATCTTCCTCTGAGGACTGATGGCAAAATCTGCAAACAAACATAAATCATCTGTATACAGTAGCAAATACAATTCCATAAACTATGGGTCAATAAATACGCCCCTGTCACCACAAGTAGTTATTTCCGTATACAACTGGTTAACAAACAACGCAAATAGAAGAAGACTTAAAATGCAACCTTGCCGAACCCCACTCAAAGAATCAAAGTTTTCCGAAACATTTAAATTGTTTAGCTTAACACTAGCCTTTGTCTTTGAATACATATCTCTAATGATATTGAACATAGAACCATGGACATTTTCAATATGTGCCATATGATCGCTAGATGGATCAGGCAAATATATGACAAGATCATGCATGCATTTATGGGTGTGGTTTTTGGGGTGTTTTAGTACAAATTTGTGTGGCAGGATATGATCACCATATATAAAAGATGAGTCCACGTTATACGTCACCTTTGACTACACTTAGTTTTCATTGTACACCCCAAGAGCAGTTGAACGGCGAACGATCATGCGCAGATAAAGGCGTTTTGACAGGAAGGGTTATCTGGACTCATCTTTTATATATTTATTATTTTCCCAGAAATTATTGAGAAAATCTTTGTTTCCTAGTACTGATACTAGAATTGTAAAATAGGTTACATTCTGTAGTAAGGTACCCAGTATGGGAGGCAACTCTTGTAGGCTTAAGAATAAACCCTACTGCATCAAGAGTAATCTCCCCTGGTGTACCAGACAGTGTCCTTCTTTGACATGACAGATTTGACAGCAGAAGAGAGAAAGCTGATTTTGAAAGGGGTGCGACTAATGCAAAAGAAATAGCTGGTAAACATATGACATTCTTCTGTCTACAGTTTTCAGAACTTTGAAAAATAATCAGCCATGAGTTGGGATTGAGCACAGGGAGTCCAAGGAAGCCTAGTACTACGGGATCACTTGGTCAGATTGTGAGTAGGGGAAAATTGAAAAGCGTTGAGAATGATTAATAGAGGAAGCCCTCGGGTATGTAATGAAACCCTTAGACAATAATTTGAAAGACTTAACTGGGTGAAAAAGCGCGGACTGCCTTCACCAATGATGAAAGATGCACAAAACGAATGACTTTAAACTGATGTAGGCCTCTCGCAAATCAAGATTGAGATAATGTTGTTTTCTTTCCTTATGAAAGCTCTGTCTGTCTTTTTCTTAAATGTGTGAAAACTTGGACAAAAGATACCGTGAAACCTATATACCAACGCCCAAAACATAGCCCGAAATTTCACATGTGGGGTAGGATATCATCACGTGGAGTGACCCCGTTGTGTATTTTCACTGGAAATTTGACGAAGGAACGATATGTTGACATCTTAAATGGTCACCTCCTTCCAACGGCCCGAACACTATATGAAGATAACTGGATTTTCCAGCATGATAACTACCCACAACACACTGCGGGCTACATACAACAGTGGTTAGTCGGACGAAAATGTTCAAGTGTTAGACTGGCACAGCTGCAGCCCAGATCTTGTGTGGGGACTATTTAAGGATAGAATTAACCAAAAAGGACTTAGAAATTTTGAGGATATGAAGAAAGAAGTGGTCGAATATTGGGATACGCTGTCACACGATTTCCTACAAACTGTGATCGGTAGTGTACCTAGCCGCATTCAGTCTTGTATTGCAGGGGAAGGAGGTCTCACTAAGTACTGAAAAGACACTTAGACTGTAAGAGTGGCCTACATTCCTCATAAACACAGATCTATCTATACAGCTATTTGATAGATAATTAAATATCCATGCGGATTTGTGAGTGAGTGAGTGGATTTAGTTTTACGCCGCACCCAGCAATATTCCAGCTATATGGCGGCGGTCTGTATATAATCGAATCTGGACCAGATAATCCAGTGATCAACAGCATGAGTATCGATCTGCGCAATTGGGAACCGATCCCGTTAGTCGCATCTTACGACAAGCATGGGTTACTGAAGATAAATATTCTAACCCGGATCTTCACGGGTCCCATGCGGATTTGTACATGGACATTGAGCGTATATTTTTCATACGTATGCAGATGGTTTAAACGATTATATGTGAATAATTATGACGGACTATTACATTATCAACGGAGTTTGATAACCAAACTTTTAATTCCTATCATATGTATCATATCATATCATATCGCATGTACGTACCTATGGGAATATATGTGAAAACATACCCAAAATTCTTAACCAAATATCACAGAAGGTAGAAATGTTACTATTCTGATAATATATTTGAACACTACCCACTACTTCAGAGTGTAATGTACATTCCCTGAGTAAACCGGTCTTGTGACTGTACGTACCCATCAGAAGACTGTGGGTGCAGATAAGATAGGTGATACTTTTTGCAAATATGGCTGTGACCATTGCAACGACATTCAGCATTACCCCCAACATGACAGTCTTCCTGATACCTATTGCTCCAAGAAGGATGTGCATTGTAAGCACAGCTGAAACAAGCATATTTTACACACATATAAATACATACGGCATGGACACATATTTTTGTAAATGCGTCAATACAAATATGTACAACCATAGCTGGAACCTGGATGAGACTAAATCTAACAAGGAGTCAGTACAAATATGTACAACTGTAGCTGGAACCAGGATGAGACTAAATCTAACAAGGAGTCAGTACAAATATGTACAACTGTAGCTGGAACCTGGATGAGACTAAATCTAACAAGGAGTCAGTACAAATATGTACAACTGTAGCTGGAACCAGGATGAGACTAAATCTAACAAGGAGTCATCACAAATATGTACAACTGTAGCTGGAACCTGGATGAGACTAAATCTAACAAGGAGTCAGTACAAATATGTACAACTGTAGCTGGAACCAGGATGAGACTAAATCTAACAAGGAGTCAGTACAAATATGTACAACTGTAGCTGGAACCTGGATGAGACTTAATCTAACAAGGAGTCAGTACAAATATGTACAACTCTAGCTGGAACCTGGATGAGACTTAATCTAACAAGGAGTCAGTACAAATATGTACAACTGTAGCTGGAACCTGGATGAGACTAAATCTAACAAGGAGTCAGTACAAATATGTACAACCATAGCTGGAACCTGGATGAGACTAAAACTAACAAGGAGTCAGTACAAATATGTACAACTGTAGCTGGAACCAGGATGAGACTAAATCTAACAAGGAGTCAGTACAAATATGTACAACTGTAGCTGGAACCTGGATGAGACTTAATCTAACAAGGAGTCAGTACAAATATGTACAACTGTAGCTGGAACCAGGATGAGACTAAATCTAACAAGGAGTCAGTACAATATGTACAACTGTAGCTGGAACCTGGATGAGACTTAATCTAACAAGGAGTCAGTACAAATATGTACAACTGTAGCTGGAACCTGGATGAGACTAAAACTAACAAGGAGTCAGTACAATATGTACAACTGTAGCTGGAACCTGGATGAGACTTAATCTAACAAGGAGTCAGTACAATATGTACAACTGTAGCTGGAACCAGGATGAGACTTAATCTAACAAGGAGTCAGTACAATATGTACAACTGTAGCTGGAACCTGGATGAGACTTAATCTAACAAGGAGTCAGTACAAATATGTACAACTGTAGCTGGAACCTGGATGAGACTTAATCTAACAAGGAGTCAGTACAATATGTACAACTGTAGCTGGAACCTGGATGAGACTAAAACTAACAAGGAGTCAGTACAAATATGTACAACTGTAGCTGGAACCTGGATGAGACTTAATCTAACAAGGAGTCAGTACAAATATGTACAACTGTAGCTGGAACCTGGATGAGACTAAAACTAACAAGGAGTCAGTACAAATATGTACAACCATAGCTGGAACCTGGATGAGACTAAAACTAACAAGGGATGAGTGAGTGAGTTAAAATTTAAAGTCACATCGGCAGTATTTCAGCCATATCGTGACTAAGAAAGTTGTACATGTATAAATGAATAAAAACAAACTTATATAATATACTTACCTGTATACAAAGAACAGTAAACAACTAGAATATCACAGGAATAAATTGATGACTAGTAATTAAATCTAAACTATTTTATCTATACATGTGGATGACCATACAATATAAAAACGGTGTATAGATTGACAACAACTGAAGGCAGATCACCATACTAGGGAATATGGTGGCTTGCAGTACATGTGCTTCCTGCATGGGCCCCTAGCTGGATTTACATCATCCCTTCAGCCGCTGGCGGTTGTAGGAAAATTGCAATTTCGACAAATGAAGCCATACATTAAAAATGCACATATTCTACGAGTAAAATATGTAGAGTCTAAATTTACTTTGCATGGTCTGGGATTTACGTACCTAACAGGAGGTGAGTATGTGGTGAAATCTGGCACACATACACATCAACATTATTTTAACGTATTATGATGAAATCAATAAATGCATCATTTCGTTATTCCAGCCGATAGTAGTTTTAAAACAGTTCAAGTGGAAGATCATTACAACAGTAAAACATTGCCACAAATCAACCTTGAGTTACATCACTGGTGTAAGCGATCAACGGCTTTCTGGAGGTCTTGTCAGTTGAGTTCCTACGCTGTCCTCGTTAGGTACTAAGTCGGAATGATGTTAAATAACTCTAATGAGTGTTCAGCGTTAATTATCTGTGTTCCAATTGCAACCCTTGATCCGTGTTAGAATTCACCTTCAGTAACCCATGCTTGCCGTAAGAGGAAACTAACGGGATCGGGTGGTCAGGCTCGCTGACACATATCGTTGTATCCCAGTTGCGAATAGCGATGCTATTGCTGTTGATCACAGAATTGTCTGGTTCAGACTCGATATTTCTAACTTCCTCTGACTCTTTACTGTAATATATTCTTTATTCACTGCGTCAGAAAACACTTGGAGCTTCTCTGGATGCATAACTACCTCTCTGCAATCAGACCCGTGAAGATCCGTGTTAGAATTGATCTTCAGTAACCCATGCTTGTCATGAAAGGCAACTAACGGGATCGGGTGGTCATCCTCGCTGACTTGGTTGACACACGTCATTGTATCCCAATGGTGTAGATCGATGTGCGTGCTGTTGACGACTGGTTTGTCTGGTTCAGACTCGATTATTTATAGACCGCCGCCATATAGCGGCTGAGTGCGGCGTTAAACAACAACCAGCCAACCAATTCCATTGCAGATTGTCTGTGCCACCGAAGTTTGTTTCGAAGAAGTTAACCGTGTGGAAGGTATGATGCATGAGACAGAAGTTACAAGCATTGTCTGGTTCTTGGGGATAAAACCAAGGCTTTCGGTCATAACCCGATCGCTTAGCCACCATGCTTACCTTTGTTTTAGTAAAACTTATAAAATGATTATATGATACTTACATGCAATGCTGTATGTGCCTGTTATAACCCAAAATAAGAGAGTGGTTTTTGACGCAGGTGCGTCAAATACTTCAATGTATTCCACGAACACAATAGCGATGCCCTTGCTGTAGCCGGCCATCAGCAACACGATCAGAAAGCAACCTAGTTGAAGGAGATAGGATTTAGCTTATTGGAATTC